ATGATTTAAAAAAAATCGGTTGTCGCACGCTGAAACCACTAAGCCAACATTGTTCTTCTTTATTATCCGATTACGAAGTTTAAATAATATTTATATTTACTAATAATAGTTTTTAAATGCCTTGTAGGAAAACTGAAAGTCGTTATATAAAAAACCTATCAGGGACGTGTTCAGGCAAAAATGAATCTTAAATGCATGGATTAGAGAAGGTTTTTGTCGGAGGTTCTCTGGTAGCCGGTCATCGAACTATTTCGTATAGTTGCCAGGGGTTGTATGAAGGACTTGAAAGACTCGAAAGTTTCGTCAAGGAGACTCTTTACATCTATTCGTAGCATAAAAAAAACAACTACATTGTGCTATTAATGTACACTCGCATTTAACAGACAATTTGACAATTGCTTTCACTATAGATAATCTTTCTATTAACCCAATTTAGTGCTTAAGTAATAATAACACACACACACATTATTTACATCACAATGACACAAATCAGGAAAAAAATTAGTGAAGACAAAGGATGCGGCGGTCTTACTCCAAAAATCAGTTTCTTCTAGACAATACGACACAGCAGACCCAAATTTGGTATTACGAGTTTAATATTTTTATTGATTATTTTTATTATATTTGAAGCTTTTTATTTATATTGTGTTTAGGAGGCTCATCTGATGTTATGATGTGTTTTTAAAGTGTAAAATTATCTGATATAAAAGGCTTAATTGTTATTATTAAAATACATACACACAAATGAAACTTTTGAACATTTTTAAACCTCTAGTCTCGATATATCAATCGTTTACTTGCTGAAGTATTTTTCGCCACATGTTTCAAATTCAAAATATCTTTATTCATATAGTTAACCAAGTACACTAATTATGAACGTCAACAGAAAAAATGTTAAATTGATTCTAGTTCGAAAGTCAAGGGCGTAGAGCGGGCACGAAGAACAGGCAAGAAACTCTCCGCCACTCTATTTAATCGCCAAGTATTGAGTCATACAAATTGTTTGAACTGGAGCAAATCAATCGCAAGGATTACGATCATTTAAATAATAGTCACACTGCGATATGTATAAAGTCCCCATGCGTTGTATTGTTCGAAATTTCGGTATCAAAGGATGTGGAAAAGAAAAGGTTTTTGCTTCAATTGTGATTTAGGTAGTATTTGGTACTTTGACAATGATATTCGTGACGTAGTTAATTTGCCGGAGTGGTTGTATGCGTAGGAAGTTAATACTAAACCATTGACTCGAAAACCTTGAAAAATTATATTCCTGATGAATCAGTCTAGATATGGGTGAAAACTGCAATAAACTCTCTGCTTTTGAGTTTTGTTTTTATATAATACTAGCTGCCCCCGCGTACTTTGTTTCTCCTTCATGTGATTTTACTTAGACTACCTTTTTAGTACATACCAACATGGAACATTTTGCTATGCTACACCAGAGACTGTTGGGTTTTCCGGAATGAAAGCATTTTAGGTTTTTCTGTGATTTTTCTCTATATAAAACTCAGAGTTCAAGTCATAAGATTTTAATCTATAATATAAAAATGAATTGCAAAATATGTTGGTAAGCGCATAACTCAACAACGCCTCGACCGATTTGGCCAATTCTTTTTTTATAATATTCCTTGAAGTACGAGGATGGTTCTTACGGAGAGAAAAATTAAAAAATAATATAATATAATAATACTTAAAAGTCAATTTGAACTTTAATACCATATCATAAAGTTCAAGTGTTAGTGGAGGGGTTCCGGGAAGGTAAATTTTTATTTTTTTACACAATGTATTTGTTGTCTTATCAACATTCTTTTTTTTTTATCTTACTAGCTAGACCGGTGTCCCGCATAGCAGAATAAGTATTTAAAAAAAAATCAAAATTTGACTGTTAGGCGGTACGATGTTCGCCAGGCCAGCTAGTTAACGAATAAAAATAGGGGTTGATCGTAGAGGGGGGAAATTAGGGGTTGATCGTACAGGGGGGAAATTAGGGGTTGTATGTATTTTTGTATGCTGTATCATAAAAAAATAAAAAGTTTTGTCTAAAAAATAAAAATTTAGGGCTTAAGGGACCACCCTTAACATTTAGAGTGATTTAAAATAGATGTTGTCCGATTCTCAGAGTTACTGAATATGCATAAAAAATTTCATAAGAATCGGTCGAGCCGTTTCGGAGGAGTATGGGAACGAACATTGTGACACGAGAATTTCATATATATTAGATAACCGTTTAGAGTTTAGACATATTATGCTGTCTCTTTTGTAGGCATTATCAAGCTTTACAGCGTTAGTCTAGAAGAGTGTTTCCCAACCATTTATGTGCTAATCCCCCAGGTATTAAGGTAGCAGATTAACTGCAATCCCCCCCTCCTCTGGTCAGCAAAAGTAAGAAAAGCTCTCAAAAATAATAGTACATAAACGTATCAATTTTTTGTAGGAATCCTCGAAAATTCATTTCGTTTTCAAACCTAGACAATGTGTAAAAAAGTTAATAATTGCTGTTGACGTAATCACCAAATAAGAAAATAAATTGTGCGTGTACTAGGTGTACACACGTAAGAAGTGAAACTTCTTTATGATCTTATTTTTCGAAAAATGGTCTACTATATGCAACTTTACAGAAATTCGTTAAATGAGATAAAGTTTAACAAAAGGCTTTTATTATCATAGACATGAATACAAATATTTCATTTTACCTTATTACTACGAAGATTATTATAGAATTTCATTAATTGTAATAGAATTATTACTATCATTGAAAACCGTGACGATTTGCTACAAAATTTCTCCCATACGTCGATAAAGAAGTTTCATTCCAACGCCGATAAAGAAGTTTGACTTCAAAAAGCAACATGGCGCGTAACCGAAAAATATGACGCGTAACGAAAAAATGTTACACTAAATTTTTTTCCAACCTCGATAAAGAAGTTTCACTTACACACACAATAATATACTTACTTAATAAAAAGGTGTGCTCAGAAGCCAATACTTTAACTTTTTTTTGGCGCTTTAGGGAAAAATGATGAGAGAAATTTTTTACGATGCGCGCGCACACCGTCACACAAAACCCTGACTCCCTGAAGTTAGCATAGTCAACATTTTAAAATAAAAAATATCCGTTTGTTTAATTATTTAGAAATAATTGTTTTGTGATATTTAAATAAACTTTATTTAACTAGATAATGCGTTATAATAATATTCAATGTATTAAATACCTTTTTTCTATTGTGAGTGTCGTTTTTTCTACAAACGTAGAAGATAGTTTTTAAAAATATTTTTATCTTGTTACGCCAAAGACGTATAACTTCTAACGCGTGTACATAAGTACACACACGTTTTTTTTAAATGGTGAACGGTGTACGGGTAGCAAGCAGCAGAAAGAAAAGAAATTAAGCAACCTATTCAATTTATTGTAGCAGTGAAGCCGTATTTTTACGTTATAAGACAAAGCCTATTGCCGTAATAGAGAAGGGAAATCAATGAAAATATCTTTGCGTGTAGTGTCAATGTAATACTGACCTTGGTGGTACGTCACAAGGTCGACAATCGAACAAGGTTGCGCTGTACCTCTTCCGTTTGTATTGTGCAAACTAAATAAATTGTTATATGTCTTTGTGAATCCAAGATCGTCCAAAATTATGTTGAATTATGTATTTATTATGCGCATTTAACATTCGCTCGGACGGTGAAGGAAAACATCGCGAGGAAACCGGCTTGCCTTAGACCCAAAAAGCCGACGACGTAAGCAATACTTGCCTATTAGAGAAATGATCATGAAACATATACATATCTGAGGCTCAGACCTAAAAAAGATAGATAAAGTAGCCAAAAGTCCTACTTTCATAATAGTTTTAATTGAATTAATTGATGTCGTTTTTAGTGTCATAAGGTTCAAATATACTACAATTGTGAGCAATAGAGAATATTACACAATCAATGAAAAGGCCGCTTTCACGAGCTTTCCAATGACCTGGCTTGACCTGTTTAATACCTGTCAAGTTCGGACTGGTCAACTAAAGTCGAAAAAGTTTATGGTGAATATTTTACGCTCACACAGATGCCCTTGAGAAATCGTTTATATACTATGACTATTTATTTATTTACACTTCGTTACCATAATATACAAAAACATACATATAAAAAACAAAAAAAGCAGGTTACATAAGGGATTGTCAAGTATTACGTCACGCAATTTTTGGAGATTATTGACCCCCCCATGTAACGCGCCGTAACGTTTTTCTGTATTCAAGTCTCGTGACCACCTAGTGACCTTTTATACCTAAAAGTTACCATTATGTCGTGTAAAGTACTGGAAAGTCGAAAATAATATTAACAATAACGCTTAATTCAATCCCCGCCCCGCATCGTAACGTTTTACAAAAGAATTTTCAAATAAATTTAGATACTGAGCTCGTCTGATATCTATTAGTAATTACATAGCAGGATACTTTGCACAGTAAAGGAGGAGTGAAAGAATTCAGTTTTATGAGTAGTTCAAAGAATTCTTCACTATTCGAGTTGATGCGATTTTCAACTGTCTGTTTTTATTTAAAAATCCTAATATCGTAGCTTCCTTCAGTACTGTTGATCGGAACCCCTTCACGCGTAAAAATAACTCCCATATAACGCTGTATTTCCCTTATAACGCGTAGATTTCTCAAGTTAAAGTTATGTGTCAAGTCCAATTGTGTAAAATAAACTAAATAACTTTATTAAAATCGTGTGTCGAGTTTTCGAATTGAAAAAAAAACGGTTGTACGAGAATACTCCTACAACGCGATTTCCGATAACGCGGTCCGGGTCCAAGTAATTGTTAATAACTTATAACACACATTTCAGATGTATTATATAAATTATTAGTATCGCATACTTTATTCTCATTCGCATCGGTTACAAAGATTTATAAATTATTTCCATAGCTTCCTAGTTTTTTCCATATATATTAAAGAAACCAGGTAGAATAATGAAGGACAGTGGTTTTTGTGCGCACGCGCAGCAACAAAATGACGCAAGCCGGTGACGTCACAACATGGCCGATTAGCTTTGTTCTGTAAGTTGGAAGGCTATTGTTATGGCGTAGTTTTCTCACTTCGTCTGGATTGTTTAAGTAGATAGTAGGAGTAGTCTAACTTATGCATAGAAACTAAAGTAATTCCTCTCTTTCTGTCAAATTGTGTTTACGCTGGGATGAAAAGAGATAGTACGTAAACACGATTCAAAAATACCTATTTATTATGTTTGAATAAAAAGAGGATTAACTTATAACAGCAGTATTTATAGAACTTAAAACGACTTCACTTGGTCAAAAGTCTATGGTCTATGGTAGAACTAAATTTAAATATATTATATGCATAAATATTCTTTATTAATTACTAATATATAAGATTTAGACTTCTAAGGTCTACAAATTGCTTGGAACTAAATTCATTTTGACATGATTCGGTTCCTGTTGACCCATCTTACTATCCGTTCTATGTACATGACCACATATTAGTTGGGCTGAAAAGTTCGTAGGCTAATAGAATTTTTTTTGAAGTTATACTTCTTTTGGTGCGTTAGGGAAAAATTATGATAGTAAATTTTTACGATGCGCGCGCACACCGTAACAAAAAACCGACACCCTAAACTTTGCAGTATAGTCAACATTTTAGTTTTTTCTATTGTTAGTGTCGTTTTTTGTACGAACGTAGAATAAAATTTTTGAAAAGATTTTTATCTTGTCACGCCAAAGAAGTGTAACTTCTAACGCACTTATGCACACGCATTTTTTTAATATAGAATTTGATTTGATTATCCAATATACAGTTACCTCCGAGAGCGATACAACGATTATAGCGGTCATACAATTTTTCGATACCTTTTTTATAGTACGATTTGTGTTTAGCCTCTTCATTAGCGCAAAATTTCTCAGCAAGCATTCTCTTGGGGGCTGAGAACAGGAAAAACTGAGGGCCAAATCTTGTGAATACTTGTTTATGGTCGTTTTTTTAATATAAGTTATAGCAAATTGGCAACATTTTGCGTGCGACATCTGTGCATCTGAGTTCTGACTTATGTGCTGTGAATGATAAATGCGATACAACACGCCCATATCGACGGATCATATTCGTGTACTAAAACTAGCGTTGATAATTTTATTTGAAATTGACTTAACACAAGTGGCAATAGTGAACAAGGGGTTCACGATTGCGATTGCATTATTAATTAGCTGCTGTGGTATCTGGTAGAATGACCAGCGCTGTGGAACATTCTGCTCTTCAGCATTATGCTGAGCCAGGGCCAATTACAGCCACAGCATGCATTACACACTTGAAACGAACCGAATGGAAAAAGGGAAAAAAAAAATATTTTTATTTTTTTTATATTGTATTTGTATTTTTCATTTTATTCATTCTTTGATTGTTGTTATTTTGTGTGGTTATGTGTGTGTGTGTCTTTGCTAGTAATAAATGTTACGTCTACTATTGTAACAGCAGTCAGGTCTTCTTGACTTGATAAGCTATCGCGGAATATGCTTAAAACGATTATTAAGAATCTCCATAGCGCTAAACATCAAACAACACAATCGAATTAGGTATTTCGTATTTCATAATTTTTATTGATTTTTTTCCGCTTATAAATTGTTTGAATATTTATGTATAATATATTCCATCTTTGGCTATGTTTGGTCAAATTGTTGTTTGCATATAACTTATGTTTGCTGTTGGATTATGAAATAAATAAATAAAAACAGAGTCAAAAACTAATTTTCAATGCGAAACTATATTCTAAGGTTTCCTATGAGTCAATCGATAAATAGCTATTAATAAAGCTTTTGATAGCGTGACGCATCTCAATTTCATTACATACTCAAAAGATTCATCCAGTTTTACATTATTATATTTAACCTTTACTTTCCAGCGATGCAAGCAGTGCGGGTAGTCCGAAAGAGGCGTGCGTGGCCAACTCTCCACCACCACACCAGCATCCGGCTCCAGCCAAGAGGCAGCAGCACCATCCACACCCACATCACGATCAGAGGCGACTTAGCGTTGGTGAGTATTCTCGAAAGTAGACAATAAAATATTTGAATGTACTCCTAAAATTAGAAGACCACAGAATCTTCCTGAAATTGATTAAGTCCTCAACTAAGGCTACTCTTATCTTACGAAAGGAGTGTGAAAAGAAACTTTAGAAAGCGTGAACGTTATAGCGTAAGTATCTCGGATATAGGATCGCCTTTCAATGTTTTTTAAGAAGTCGAGATTACACTACAAGAATTCTAGTTAGAATTTTGAGCTAACGTAAACGCTGTAATAAATTAAACTACGATGAATGGACTGGTGTGCAGCAAGGTAGTGTTATTCAGGCCGACTTATCTCTATTGAGACTGTACCATGGCAGGATATATTATAGACCATAATTTCACTTACTTTACACGGAAATCAGATACAACTGCAGTATGTCGAGAGTAGAACAAGGTATTTCGCTTCCAAAAGTGATAGGCGCTATGGCGAGTGGGGCGGATGAAGACACGCTACATATCGGAGTATCCCCGATGGTTATGGTTCTGCCATGATGTCACTTCGGTGGTAGGTAGGGATCTCACTATGCCTAGTGTTATTTTAAAAGGCTTGGTAATGGCGAGGCGTGGAATGTGATGGTTTCCTTTTGGAAGCAACGCTACAGAAGGAGTCTACATAAAGAGAAAAATAACGCAGGATAAGAACCCTTTTGAGGAATAGAAACGGAGGGAGGAGAAGGTTCGTTAGTTCGCTGTCACCAATGTAGTCCACATTTTGTCGACGCCATATGGCTATACCGCTGAGGTCCCGGTAGAATGCGAAAGTGACCACCAGGGCTTCTTTGAGAATACGTACTGGAGATGGGTATGAGGTTTTAGCGGGTATAGCTCACCCGAGTCTTTGACTAGCAGAGTGTCTGAGTGGATTCTTACATACCCCTGTCACATTTAGTGCGGGGGAAGTTCCTTTGTAAAAAAAGCGCTTTCATCGCAACCTTGACATCGCGCCGTACAAGAACTCGACATTGAATTAGGGATCGCAATATTTATTGGGACTTACAGTGTACCGGCACAGGGTCAGTGTCTCAAACAAGGTCATTAAATTATCTATAAAAAATAAGAGCTGGTATTTGTAATTTGGGGCCGTTCAAGTATTACGTAACCAGATTTACTGCAATTTATTCCCCCCCTCTCCTCTTGTCAGCAAAAGTAAGGGTAAATTGAATAATCCACTTTTTGAATACTAATTATTTAGATCTAGACCTTCATTAACACCTATAGTTTTGCTCGGAAACTCAAAAATTTATAAAATTTATAAATAAACTTTCACTTAAAACTAATTACCCTATCTACATAAACCACATTAAATGCCATTAATTTATAAAATTAATAGGGATGTAAAAATAATCATTTTTTTAAAATAAAATCGATTTTTTATTCGATTTTAATATTAAAAATAATTGAAAATTCGGCGACCAAATATTCATATACTAACTCTAACCTAACCAATCTAAATAATATTTTTTTTTGGACAGCTCCGATCTAAATATAATTTTTATTCAACCTCTTGTCTTGCCTTGACCAAATATTCATATACTAACTCTAACCTAACCAATCTAAATAATATTTTTTTTGTGGACAGCTCCGATCTAAATATAATTTTTATTCCTCTTGTCCTCTTGACCAAATATTCATATACTAACTCTAACCTAACCAATCTAAATAATATTTTTTTTGGACAGCTCCGATCTAAATATAATTTTTATTCAAGCCTGCTTCGTCCTTCCTTGGACCAAATATTCATATACTAACTCTAACCTAACCAATCTAAATAATATTTTTTTGTGACAGCTCCGATTAAAATAATTTTTATTAGCCTCGGCTTCTCGTTCATATACTAACTCTAACCTAACCAATCTAAATAATATTTGTTTTTGTGGACAGCTCCGGCTAGGGAAATGCAGCCCCTCCACCCTTGCGTACCAAAGCACAGGCATTTTATTCAAGCCTCCGCAACCTCGGCTTTTTGGTGCTCTGGGACCAGCCTCAGCCGCTACAGCTTTCATAATGCCTGTGCTTTGTTAAGGGGTGGGGGCTGTCTTCCTCCGGCTCCGATTATTTATATACACTCTAGGGGTAAGACAGACAAGACCAGTGGATAGTGGGGTGCTCTGATTGGTTTTGGGTACTTTTTGGATATTAAAGTAAACACTTTATTCTAGTAAAAATTAAATAATATAGAAAGTTGCAAACAATGAAATAAATACTAATTAGAAAATACAGACGAGTAGGTATCATAATTTCAAAAATTTCGGAACCCTATAATCTATCAACACAAATTATTAATTTCAATTTATTATTCTATAACTTTAAATTTCAAAATAGAAATAATCATAAATAAATAAAACGATTATTAACAATCGATAAATTAAAAACAGATTTTTTTAAGTAACTCACATCATTATACCAAAAAATAGAAAATGATTTTTAAATTTTAATAATTAAAAACTTTAAATTTTTTATAAAAATATTTAACGGTTTCGAAAAACTCATTGATTTTGAATCCCCGAATCCTAGATAATTAGTATTTGTGTATTTAAACACCAAAGTAAGCAAAGCTCTCAAAAATAATAGTTCATAAATCTATTAATTTTTAGTAGTAGGATTCCTTTTCGTTTTCAAGCATAGACAAATGTGTGGGTAATATGTGTAAAAAGTAAATCATTACTGTTGACGTTATCACCAAAGACCCCCCCTGTAGTGCTTAATAATACTTGAAGGGCCCCTTTTTGATGATGCTAACCTGAGTTTTCAAGGTCTGCAAACTTACACCAATGAAGCAATCCTGCCCCTAGTAGAATGCCTTGCACGACCCACATCGGCCCGAAGTTTTGAGTGACCAAAACTATTTCCTACGTATGGTAATCTATTGCCATTTCACTTACACAATCAGAAACTGGACCAGCAAGTGCTATCACTAACCCAGATAGGTTACGTAAAGTGTTGCGTTGAGGCGAAAGTTTTTGGTCGTGCAGCTGGCTCGCTCGCACGTATAGAATCTGTCGGTGTGCGAGAGAGATGGTAGTTTGGTTTTGTAATAGTTTTGAAAGCTTGAGTCTTATGGGGTTACATGCATCTTGGGTGATGATTTGAAAAGAGAATTCTGTTTGTCCTTAAAGAAAAGTTACCGTTTCGAATTTTACACTCGGGCGTAAGACTGAGAAGTGAGCAGGGAAGTGGTGTAAACGACGATATCGCAACAAGAAGTATTTAGGATAATGTGTTCGAAGTACTTGGTTGTAAATGTGGTTTTAAAAGGTCGGAACACACTCGCAATGGCTAGGCCATTTGAATGTTAGAAATGAAGTTAATCGCTCAAGTAAAGGTGTGATTGTAAATGCGGGTTTAAAACGTCGGAACGCACTCGCGAGACCTAGCCATTTAAATGTCCAAAAACTTTATTTTTACTTTTACAACTTATACTCATATTAAGAAATGTTAACTAACCAATTTTTGTATGGATTCATTCATAAAGCTCTAAATAAATAATTAACGCCTTCGCAAAATTTCAAGCAATTTTAATATGTATAAAAAAGTATTTGCAGTACAGGAAGTGGTCAGTACCAACTATGGGCTTGATAAACTTGTCGCTAACCGCTACTACGCAAATTTAATTAAATATAGTATTGTATTGCGCAGAATCACTGGTGCTGTTTTTATACAAATATTTGACGTGATTGTTTTTTATGTTAGTATTAGATTTGTCATACTAATGATAGAAAGCCCGGCGTAAAAGGTTGGATAGAGATAGATAGAAAAGCGAATGGAGTAAGAAAGCAATGGATATATTTGGGAAAAGCTGGAGGCGCCTTTACGCGTAAAGGGGTTCCGATCAATGGTACTGAGGGAAGTTAGTATATATAAGGATAACAAGAAAAAAATTTATATATAACATATCTATACTGTACATATTTTGTCAAATAACCGGGCTTTATTATTATTATTAATGATAGAAAAACAGCATTTAATGTAACATTTAAAGTGTTTTTTTAATCATAGGAAAGCAGTTTAACCAAACTACTCTATCTAACAAATTATGACTATTGATCACTTCCCGACCTCCAACTATTCAAAGTTAGAGTGTACTCTCTCAAAAGCCGGCAACGCACCCACTAAATATGGGTGTCTCTGGGCTGCGATGACAGCTCTTTTGCCCCCTATTATATATTTAAAAAAACGCAAGAGACATGCAGTGGTTTGGTTAACGTAACAGCATTGGTACTCTGTAACTTGTAGTTTTGAGTTCTGCACCATCAGCGCTATGGATACAATAACTAGTATGTTACAATGTATAAGCGCAGGATTAAGATATATAGACTCCCGTATCTCTGCAGCCGAACCAGGAATGAGCGAGTAACTGATTTGCTTCAACAGCCTCCGCCAGGATGCGTCTGTATAGGTGTAGTCCGCCCCGAAGACTACGAAAAGTCTGTTGTCCCCTTGACATACTCCAGCGATGCTGTTATATCCCAATTCTAGAGCCATTCATAAAACATATTTGGGGATAACGTGAATTAGCTAATGGAACGCTCCGGTTGATGCTGTATAGAATTTCTGGACAATCATGAATTTATTGACTACTTTATACCAAATTACTGAAGAACTACCGAGACTTTTTGATTCCAGTTGTATATAAGACTATTTTTAATTTAACACTCGCTCGAACGGTGAAGGAAAACTGCGTGAGGAAACCGGCTTGCCTTAGACCCAAAAAGTCCATGGTGTGTCACAGGAGGCTGATCACCTTCTTGTCTATTAGATTGACAGATCATGAAACAGATACAGAAATCTGAGCCCCTGTTTTATTATATTTTTAAATTTGTTTGAATCTGTAGTACTCGCATTCAGTCAATATTACATTGATATATATCATCCACAGAGGTGCGCGTGAGTCCCGGCGCAGCTGGAACGTCAGCTGAGTCTCCACACATACACCATCCGCCTCATCACCAGCCTCATCACCAGCCTCACCATCATCATAATATGGTTAGTAACAACACTGATATTTAAATAAAAATAACCTTTATTCAAGTACTATAATTTAAGTTAAGTTAGTTTATGTTATTATTATATTTAATACTAATACACGACTTCCGGAGAAACTAAGGCCTGTTTCCAGTTCTTTCACTGGTCCCTCCAATGTTTCTCCACTTTTTTATTTCATCTTCCCAGGTTTCTGGCGGGTGTCCTTACCTCTTTCTGCCCACTGGGCTCAAATAGGACCTTTTTGGCCACCACAAACACGGGCAGTGGGGCCCATTTTCACTTTAATTTCTTTACCAACATGTGTTGCCACGTCTGTTATTTTTGTTTTTAAGTTAAGTTTATTACACGAATATTTGTATTTACAAAGAGATCATTTTATTTTGTTATCTGTATACAGTAATACTGGACAGAATTTAATTTCTTGTAAATATACAGCTACATTATCAGCGGGTAAAAACGTTTTGAGATGATAATCCATTCGAGGAAGGATGTTTTATATTATCACGCTACGACCGAATTATGCGGGAAGACCGCACGGCACAGCTGTTTTATTTATTTTTATTTCCTTATTTTTACAGTAACTTCATACTAATACAATAGAAAACTTATTTATATAAAAATGAAATTAAAAACAAAACAAGAAAACATAAAGCCTAAACCTTTTTATAACTAATTATAAATAATTCAACCCCTGTGAATTCAGCCAGTGTGCAACTAAATTTATTCGCGTAAATGGCACTAAAAAAAATCTCAAAGTAAATTTGTACTCGAGGCACTGCAAGCAATTGCCGCTTACCACGCCGAGTGTGATTATTTCGCACATCCCGAAATTCAACTCTACGTTTAAATGGGCATAGGTCTTTGATTTCTGCTACTCTTGGAAGTTGCATACATGAGGATCACCATTCCACATTGAGTACTCTCATTTTATGATTTCAGGACACGAATCCGCTGGAAGGCCCCGTAGAGTCTATCGTCAGTGGGGCAGGATCATCTGATGGTGAATTGTCTAGTAAAGCAGGAGACAGTCCCAGTAGGAAACGAAGGCGGATATGCAGACATATATCATCTGGTAAAAATATGTCACAAAACACTAAATTTGAGTCGCATGGGTGATATTTCTGTGCCTTGGATAGTAATTATATGCACTTTTCAAACACATTTCTGACCCGGAAGTCGCTATCTTCATTAGGTAAATTATGCATATAACGTGGACGTTCAAGCCACTGAATTTGAAATAATCGTAGGTCAATTAACACAGTCAAATATTAGCACACCTGACACAAGAATTTCTTCTTCAAATTCTAAGAGAAGAAGTAGCAGCCCATTTTGCGATACTGAAACAGTTCTTGACTCAATCCTTAATGTCTCCCAAATTACTTGTCTTGTTCGTTGACAAACTTTAAGAGTCTGACTTGAAGCCCTGTCTCTTTGAAGACAGTATTTTACGGTCTAATCTAGGAATCCTAATAGAATTTTCGTTCATTATTTATTATAAAAAAGAACGATATTACAGGTGAAAGTAACGTGTCAGTGCCAACGCCGACTGTCGAAAGACGGACGCCCAGACATCATTATCAACCGAGGTAATTTTTAATTTATCTCGATACTTAAATTAGCTTTAAGTAATACAGCGCTAAAGGTCTCGTCTTTGTTCGTTAAGAGGTGTTCAAAATTGTTGAGTAATGTAAATACTGCTGTTTCATGGTATAAGTTATACTTATTATGAAGCAATGTCTACTTGAAATTAAATTTTTGTAAATTCTGGCTCGAAGGACCAAAATAAGTTAATATTTTGAGGATAAAGTTCTGTCTTGTTATTGTGTACTGAAACACAAAAGTTCATTAGAATTTTACTATGTTCCTACCTTGTGCGATTACACTATCCATATGTTTTATTGTTTTTTAAAGGCACAATGCCGATTTGGTTTTGATAATTCAGTATGAATTACATATATAGATATTAAAGTTTTTTAAACTATATGTCTATATGACTACGCCAGATTGGAATTCTAGTGCTGCACAAGTTTTCCTTCCAAAAAACAGATAATTGTTACTTTAAATTAACGAATAGTTCAGAACTCCTTAATTAAAAGGACGTAAGTTATGATTTAGTTTTCAATTCAGTTCGAAACTATTTGCCCAAAATCCGGAAACTTAGAGTAAAATCGTGATGATTAAATCAAGATACTAGTCCTATTTAAGGAACAGTCCAAGTTTCATAAAAATCGGATCGGATCAAATAATGAAAAAAAAATTATCCTTAATTCAAGTACATAATCAGGATTACATTAAGTCCATGTCATTATGTTAACATTAGTACATGACCTCCGGTGTGAAGGCCTCCTCCAAATTCTTCCACATGCCTCTCATCCTCGCCACCATTTTCAATCCTTCCCGGCTATGCCTTTTATTCCTCCGGTTCAGATAAAATAAGTACATAATCTCGATAGGCATTTAAAGTTATACTTATATGTATGTATTCTAGACGTCGCGTACGCTACATGAGCGGCGGAAACGGCGGTGTGTGTACACACCAGCGACTAATGGAGCATACGCCCCACCCTCCGCACCCGCCTCACCCCGCGCATCTGCCGCACCCTGGCCCGTTGCTACTGGATATTAACCAGGTGATACTCAAGTTCTGATCATTTAGTTGAAATGTTTGGTTGTTTTTATTTCAGCGTCAACTATCGTATCGTCTAATATGTTCAAATTAAAGAATGGTTTTGTGTTTCATTGTACATTTAACGAGGTTCAAATTATTACCTAAGGTACGGTTGGAGCGTGTTTCAAACAAATTTAATCGATTCTACTCAGAAATAGCGTACCAATTCTTACAAGGCCACCATCGCACTCGCGAGTCCTCTATTATTACTTGATTACTAATTACTTGATTTCAGATGTCCCTTCGTGGCGCGCGGTTAAACGCGCTTGGAGGGGGCGTGGCGTGGCCTCACCACGCTCATCCACACCCACATCCACATCCACACCCACACCCGCACGCACACGCGCATGCGCATCCCCACGCGCACGCACACAGGGACCACCCGCAGCGGACTCAGGTAAATGTCAGGTTAAACGGTTGCGGGATTTCATCGCGTCAGTCCACAACTGGAGTTGCTCTTTTTTTTTCACGTTCTTCGAACAAAATAGAACCAAAAATTTCTGTACTAGTTGAATAACTAATGGAACAGTTGCGGTAAAAAATTGTATCGAATTTTGGTACGGACAGTTTTGTTTAAAAAAATGCATTTATAAAGTTAGGTTTTGTAATGTTTGCTTACATATGAACAGCATTGTTACAGCATTCTTTTCTTTATTACTGTGTTTGATAGTTTTGGATATCAAAACATGAGTTACACATCAGACAAAACACTGAAATTTTATTTTTAATCAGTTTTTATTAAATAATATGACGATATTTCTAAATTGACTTGCCGGTATACAAAGTTTTGTTATTCTACAATAATAATCATGATATGAATGCATATGATTTAGCATAAGCTTTTTCCAATTGTTTTGTAGGAAATTTTATCGATTAAAATTGTAATCCTTTACAAAAATGTATGTCCCAAATGAATTGTTAATCTGGGCATAGCATACGGGGTCTGAAAATATTTAGGTACTGTAAGATGATAAAAATAAACAGGTAGATGATTTTTTTTAGATTTAAGTTTGTTGACGTGGTACGACTTAATATATTCAATTTGTCTATTTAACTATCTATAATGGTTTAAACTAAAAACAAAATAGATTTTAAACGAAGTCTAAAGTCGCATCACGTCCCCGTTGTGGTTAGTTGGTCTACAATCGCTCGCGTGTCGCGCGACTAACGCAGGTGGCGAGTATAGGTGCCGCCGAGATGTGGCCGGCCGTTCTGCCCGCGCTGCCCCACCCGCTCCGCTATCAGGTACCGAATTAGGGCCCAAACCCCACTTCCCACCCTTTGACTCCTCAGTGTTCGCTTGCCCGATGTCCCACGATCCCATATATCATTAAAGATATTCCTCATAAATTTGGAATCCACGATTCAGTTCGTCTCGTCGAGAGTTTTTCTAAATTGCCATCAGGCATCTCTCATAATTATATGTTGTCAAACGGGCATGCGAATACGAAGCTTATTTAACTTAAGGGCGCCTGTGAAAGCATGATTCCATTCATCCGATTCGAAGTGTGATGTCGGCTAAGGGTGATTCGTGACGTACCGGCGCGTGCATGCCTCCATACATTGATTTGAAATCTCTAGTTGTACCCGCAGCTTCAGTAGTTTCTAAATGCTTAATGACCTACGGTGATGAGGAAAATAGATTGTTTTGGATGAAATGTTATTGGCTTTCGCATTGTAAGAGAGGCAATAATGTTTTTAGTAAAATGCAATTTGAAATTAATAGAGATTTTAGATCAATGCACTGATTCCATATTCTGCACCGCTATAATATCGTCTAGATATACGTAACGCGAGTGATGGTCTGCTGCAGCTTGTTTCCGCCGTTCAAGTCTCGATAGAGAGCATTTGCAATCTGTAACTAGTCTGCGTTGTTCCATCCTGTACAAAAAATAGTTTTTATTGTAATTAATTTTAACTTCGCTTGGTGGATTCTGTATTGACGATACTCTTTCTTTCGATCCATTAGTCGAAGCACTTTGTCGTGAGTCTGTTTTGTAGTTGCAATCGTTCTTCAATTGTTTCTAATATTGCTTTAGCTTTAATTAATAAGTATATTTCAGTCATTCGATGTCCTACAATGCTTGTATTTTTATGACACGTTTTTTATATATATGAGGTTTTAACCACTTAAATCACGTCAGGGATGGTTGTGTTGTGTTTTGGTCCCACTTTTGTCCTGGTTAGCTTCCGGTTTATGGTGCATTGTTAAGCTTAGTTCATTCTTCAGGTTGCCTGCTATAGGTTAGAATATTCGCTGCAAAAATGCTGTATTAGTGTTATAATGATATTATGAGTTTTATGTTCTGTCATTAGTCCCCAACTGTGTTTTATTCTATTATTAATTTTTACCTGTATATCCACGACCCGGCGCAGTGTGCTGTACTTGTGCCTGAATCTTGTAGTTAATAAGATTTTCAAACATTATAATCCTCTGAAAAGTTGTGTTTTGGAGTTACGTTTCAAATTATATGATGCTTTGAATTCAATTCAGATAAAATTTAATATAATATAATTTAAATAAAACGTAACTTCTAAACATAATTTTTTCAAGGAATACCCGCTACTTTTGACTAACTCCTGTCTAGTTTCAGAACACGTATAATTTCGACCTACTAATATATATACTAGCTATCTCACTCGCACGTAGGACTTAAGACACGTGCGAATGAGATGGCGTTATACGTGGTACGAAATATCGTGATCTGGACCTAGATTTACATTTGTACTCATTCTAACGTTGTGCTATCTACACGGCACAATTAGGTTAAAGTTAAGCAACCACTTAAGCTTTGTTTATGGTATAATCAATGTTGCGTTAGCTGGGTTCACAATTGTACGTCAAGCACCGAATGATATGCATGCCCAGATTTAATGCGTTAACGCGGCAGGGGAACTAAGTTATGTGTGCTTGTATTAAGCTTGCGGCGTCCGTTACTGTAGTACGGTACGCCTCTAAATCTGTGCATTATAGTTTTTGTTAGGGTGTGTACATTAGAACATTTTCTGTTCACAATTTGACAATTTATAGTGTTAAATAATATCATAAACTTATCTGACTCGTGGCGTCTAGTTTTGCTTTTGTCCAGCGTTTCTTGGCTTTTGTAAATACATAATATCCATCAGGTCAGATATGTTTATGACCTATATACGCTAAAACAAAGGCATATTATTTTATTCCTTTTTATTAATATAAGTATTCATAAGAATCTGTACACAGTTTTCCCCAACTCAAAAACGCACTGAAAGTGTCTCATCACATTAGGATTACGTTGTAGTTGCGTAGATTTGATATTTTTAAAATACTACAGCTTTTATACCACTGTTCACTCGATCTAGGCGTTAAATGCCGTAAGCTTTGCATACTATAACATAATAATCTCAAAATACTACACACAATAGAAATTAAACTAGTAAACGCTCGGCTCTGATAGCTGCTTGGTTTATGGTGAAATGTGAATAAAATACTAAATTATCCTAATACTAATATTTATTTCGTTTCTCATGTCTCGTTGCACACAAACTACGGATATATAATGGGCCTTATATGCATGTTACGCTATACACACACAAAACCTCCATATTCCAAATTCAAATTCCAAAACTACAAAAATCATCGAGCTAATGAAATATGGCTTAAATGTAGTTATTGTGCAGCGGAAGAGTGCTTCTCCAATACTTTAGAATGCAGACTCCAGTCCTTCTCACCTACATGACAATAGTTTAGTTGCTTATGTTTACGTTCAAGATCATAATTGCTAATTTTTCTATAGCACACGCATTTGACAGCGTCTATAGGTTTGGCTATATGAAAATTTACAATTCGCAGCAATTGTGATTATTGAGAAACGTTAGACGTCAAGTGGCAAGTAATAACTAGTTTTAAACATTAAATAAGTCAAAGAGCATTTTAGCCTTCAAATGCTTTTTGTGGTTTGCATGACATTAGAGAACAAAAGTGACACGAAGATAGTTCCTTTTAGTACACCTTTCAATCAACATACATATTTAATTTCTTGTATAGTGTTCAAGGATGTGTTAAGTCCATTAAAAACACACATAAATAATACCTACTTGAAGCTATTCACAGCTGCTTTGAATTAATAAAACTGCGTGTAATCCATATGATAGACACTATCTAAAGCTTCACTCGTTCCTGTAAATGTGTCCTATCTTCAATTTTACAACCAATATTTGCTAGTGGTTATTTATGATTTTTCCGAGCTAAATTTGCGGAGCTTGCAAGCAAGAGCTCAGGCAATTTGTTTCAATGTAATCTACAACATATCCTAAGACTCCCATCATTATAAATGTGAAAATTTTATTCAGTCAAATTCACACGGTCGCGTGCAATACGAGCATACTCTATCTTTATGTATCTATTCCTTGGTCAATATTATCAACTTTATTTTTCAAATTATGACTCTTAACATGTAAATTACATACTACATCCCCAATTACCATTGACAATTTTTGTTTCCTTTCAAGTGGAGATTCTTCACTATACTTTGCATTTTATTTTGTATATTCTAACGAAACAAATTGGTGTGTTTTTGTACATCAAATGAGTCGAATAGTTGATTTAATTTCATAAATTAGGATGCATCAATCATCATTATTTAAGGATCGCTATAACGTAAATACCGTCGCAAAGCAGGCGATAAGTCAAATTTAATATACCATAGACTACAAATAGCTAACAAATCCTCCTAAACTGTATCTTAATAAATACTAGAACATACATTTTTATTAGCAATGCTATTATAATTATATATGTACGATATTGGGTGTAAATGTAAATTATCGTTTTGACGACTGTAATATTATTATGAAACTGAATAAATTATATACAAATCACAATAACACTGAAAGATAGCCCTGGTGGCGCTAAAAATGGTTTGGTTTAAACGTTTCAGCTTTTTAATTTCATAATCACGCTTGGTATTCAATATATATTGCTCATTTACTTATTATGTATACTATTATATCTGTTTATCATAATTTTTAAGTCTTAAATTACAATAACGAATATTGAAGTAATATAATAAGGTGGTTTAGGGAGCTTACCTTGTTTTTTGTGCATTTAAAAATAGGCATTAAAGATGTTATTACGAGAATTGACAACGTTTAATTTTTTGTAAAAATATTGGAGATGGAAAGTTCTTTATCAATTTTAATTAAACATTTTCAAAGATCAAAAGACGAGTTCATTTCAACTACACTTTCTTTTCCTAAACCCGTCGCGGTATAGTTAACGAAATAGTAACAATAGATTTTTGTATCAAAAACAATGAGCCGTACTCAGTCGTCGTATTTGAAACGAATAGTAGCCCAAGCTGGGATTTCGGGATTCATGAAAGCGTGGAAGATTAATATACAGGAGGATACCTTGTACCCGTTTAAGTACCTGCACCAAATATGAGCCCTATATGGCCGCCCGTCAAGGATAAAGGATCAGATTAGTAAAACTAAAATAATCAGAAATTCTCGAGCGCGTCAGATTAAGGTGAGTTAGATCTACATTATTAAAAATACCTAGGACATGGATGCTTTTAATATCTGACGCGCTAGAGTATGTCCATTGCCCATTTTTCTTTTACATTTTTCAAAATCTAGCCGCTCCCCCCCACCGATTAAAAGGTATACGTCGCAACCCAATAGGTCTCTGACGCTCGAGTAAATCCCCATTTAGCATCGTGGTCTGCCCTACTATAAACGTAATAACACGTACATATAAAATTTGTATAGGTCAATGCGTTTGAACTGTCAAAAGAGAAAAATCATAAACGAATACGTGACGAATGTATCGTTAAACTCGCGCTAAAGCCTCATGATTTTAGTTGTATTTTTAATACAGAATCTAAGTTGTCAATTCGATGTAATGAATCTTGCAATGGTCATTGTATATGGGTCAATATATGGTAACGTGTGGCCTACAGATGGGTGGAATGTACGCGGGCCTTCAGTACCATGGGACTTTCCCCCCGCCGCCACCCCGCGGGCCTTTTGCCTCACCTCCGCACCCGCATACCCACTATATCGCCAATTCACAAGTAAGTAATCAAGCCAAGATATATAGGATACTTTTCGATTTTTGTTTACAATTCGATTTAAACCAAATCTAGAATATAGTTGAATCTAAAACTAAAACAGTGTGCCCCCAAATTTTTAGAGAATTAAGGATGCCATAAGGATGTTTGGATTTGTAATGGGACAGTAATCCAATATAGAAAAAAAAAACGTTTTTAAATAATAATACTAAATTATTACGAAACCGTAAATTTTGGTCCATCGAGCCGGATATGTAGTAATAATAATTTTAACGTAAGAGCTATAAGAGGGGTAATAATTTCAGCGTGCGGAAGGCGGACGGCTAGATATGTTGGGTGCAGGCGAAGGCACACTATCGCCTCTTCAAGCCACGCCCGATCTCCATCACGCTCCACTCTTGTTGGCTACAGAGGTAATTTAAAAAAAAAAATATTTTCATGTCAAAGAATTTAAAACATTTTGTCGTTTGACTAAGGATTAGTATTGTCCATTATTTTCTCGAGAGAAGGGACAACGTTTGAGAAAATTTAGGAATATTACAATGGTGGAAGAAGGTTTAGGGCCGGTTTTTTGATCCGTAGTTAACTCAACTATTGGTAAAAAATCGTTACTATTAGTTAAATATCAGCAAAATGCGTTTTTTGATCCGTGGTAAGAGCATCCAATGGTAAAATATCTAACCATTAGTCAAAAAAGTTAACTACTCAGTATCGGAGGGTTAAAAAGATGGCCGCTGGTAATTTATATACTAACAGCTGTTTGTCACAGAAATCAAACTATGATAAATACGTTTATTACTATCTAATGATGAATTTAAACATATTGAGATACTTTAATTAATGAGACGATGAAGAAGACGATAATATTATATGAGAATGTGTTAATGAGTGACCAAAAATATTTAGGCAATGTCATCGATTAGAAACCTGGATGATGTAGATTTTTGTCACTGTTACCCCTATCGAAGGGAACAGTGCTTGGATTGTTACTGAAATTGGGAATGATCTTAAACTGCCAATGAACAAGAGTATATATAGACAGCAGCTCATACCAACCTATTTTGCTTCATTACTAACTACAGAACCGCAGCAGTATATAATTAAGTATATTACTAATTATTATGTTTTTATTGCCTATAATATTAACTTATAATTATTATAATTAAATAAAAATACAAGAACAAGAGTATATATAGACAGCAGCTCATACAAACCTATTTTGCTTCATTACTAGCTACAGAACCGCAGCAGTATATAATTAAGTAATTACTAATTCATTATGTGTTTTATTGCCTATAATATTAACTTATAATTATTATAATTAAATAAAAATACAAGAACAAGAGTATATATAGACAGAGCTCATACAAACCTATTTTGCTTCATTACTAGCTACAGAACCGCAGCAGTATATAATTAAGTATATTACTAATTCATTATGTGTTTTATTGCCTATAATATTAACTTATAATTATTATAATTAAATAAAAATACAAGAACAAGAGTATATAAGACAGCAGTCATACAAACCTATTTTGCTTCATTACTAGCTACAGAACCGCAGCAGTATATAATTAAGTATATTACTAATTCATTATGTGTTTTATTGCCTATAATATTAACTTATAATTATTATAATTAAATAAAATACAAGAACAAGAGTATATAAGAAGCAGCTCATACAAACCTATTTTGCTTCATTACTAGCTACAGAACCGCAGCAGTATATAATTAAGTATATTACTAATTCATTATGTGTTTTATTGCCTATAATATTAACTTATAATTATTATAATTAAATAAAATACAAGAACAAGAGTATATATAGACAGCAGCTCATACAAACCTATTTTGCTTCATTACTAGCTACAGAACCGCAGCAGTATATAATTAAGTATATTACTAATTCATTATGTGTTTTATTGCCTATAATATTAACTTATAATTATTATAATTAAATAAAATACAAGAACAAGAGTATATATAGACAGCAGCTCATACCAACCTATTTTGCTTCATTACTAACTACAGAACCGCAGCAGTATATAATTAAGTATATTACTAATTCATTATGTGTTTTATTGCCTATAATATTAACTTATAATTATTATAATTAAATAAAAATACAAGAACAAGAGTATATATAGAAGAGCTCATACCAACCTATTTTGCTTCATTACTAACTACAGAACCGAGCAGTATATAATTAAGTATATTACTAATTCATTATGTGTTTTATTGCCTATAATATTAACTTATAATTATTATAATTAAATAAAAATACAAGAACAAGAGTATATATAGACAGCAGCTCATACAAACCTATTTTCTTCATTACTAGCTACAGAACCGCAGCAGTATATAATTAAGTATATTACTAATTCATTATGTGTTATTGCCTATAATATTAACTTATAATTATTATAAGTTAATATTATAGGCAATAGAATACATCATGAATTAGAGTTAATATTATTTATATATTACTAATAATATTAACTTATAATTATTATAAGTACATACAAGTATGTACTTATACTAAAAACTAAGCTACAATTAGTTAGGGACCTATGATATTTTAGGTTTATTAATTTGTGAGTTAGCATCTATCTACTTTATTACAAGAATTTATAAATAAAACATTTGACTTGATTAATAAACTGTTTAATTATAACTTAAATACAAACCATTTTTATTAAAAAAACATTACAAAATTTACATGAAACCCTAAAGTAGCAATTAAATATTTTCTAATTTTCACCTCAATTTGATAACTCTTTTGTGCTAATATATTATTGTGCCTTGCTGATACTTTTGGTGACCTCCTCTTAGGTGAATTTTTGGTGGGCCTTATTGGGAGAAATGTTTTGATGCTCTTCCTAAGCATAATTGAAAAATCATTTTATTTGTTTGGAAGTAGAGTATGGTCTTTAAAAAACATAAATGTATTACTTTCTATTACGAAACACAAGATAAACCGAAAAATAAACGAAAATATTTTGAACTTACTTATTTGACCGTTGGTGTTTGGGAATGTTATTTATATATTTAAGTATCGTAAAAGTGTAAACCGTATTAAATAAGAAAAACAACTTTATTTATATCGTGATTTAGATTAATTTGAATTCAAACTCTTCAAAGGCAAATAAGAATAAATGGAAAAATGTTTATTCACTCAATGTGTTGTCATAAAAATAAATGATCCCCACAAAAAGAACCACATTTTTGGGATATTGCTATTGATGGAAAAATTGAAAATTGTTAACTTTAACTATAGTTAAAAAGATAAAAAATTTAGATTTTAAATGGTTAATTAATATAGTTAATGTAAAAATGGTAAATTTTTTATACGGATCAAAAAACTGGCCCTTAGTGAGATATACAGTGTATTTTTAGTTGAATTATCTGTGGTAAATTGGCTGTGTTTGGAGCTTATATTCTAATGATATAATACTTTGGAGCAGTTTTGCCCTAGCGTATTCAGCGTGTGACTCTTATCTCTGAGGTCGTCGGTTCGATCCCCGACTGTGCACCGATGGACTTTGTATATTTATAAGCTCGATAGGAAAGGAAAACATCCTGGGGCAACCGGCTTTTAATCTTAAATATTCAACGCTGTGTCAGGCACAAAAGTCTGATCACCTACTTGTCTATTTGAGAAAAAATATCACGAAACAGATACAAATATCTGAAGCCCAGACATAAAAGGTTGAAGCTAAGTTGTGCTATTTTTAATGTTTTTATGTTTAGGCCCAACGAGCTCCAATAGAGCTGATGGCGTCACACGCAAGGCATGCGCTATCTCATCACCATCATGTAAGTTTTGAATGTTATTGTCCAACGTAAAGATATTTTTATTCTTGTGATATAAACAAATACTTGTCTTTATTTTTAATACTAGTTTTTGGCCAGGTATTTTGAAATAAAAATTGTTAACTATAGTGTTATGTTTTCTTATAAAAATTGGTTGTTTAAAGCTTGGGGAGCGTTCAAGTATTCAGAGATTATTGGACCCCCTCCCCCATGTAACGCGCCGTAACGTTTTTCTGTACCCAATAGTAAAACGTTTTGGGACCACCTAGTGACTCTTTATACCTAAAACTTACCATTATGTGGTGTAAAGTACTGAAAAGTCGAAAAATAATATTAACAATAACGCGTAATTCAATCCCCGCCCCGCATTGTAACGTTTTACAAAAGGAGTCTTCAAAAATTCGTTACGTAATACTTGAACGCTAATTGGGCATGGGGCCATTGTCGTGTCTCTTTCATAAGTAAGGTTATTGTTAGCCCACGACGACGAATAAATACTGAAACAATATAAAAAAATATTCAATTTTCTTGTCTCGAACTTATCTTGCCCTGGTTCAGGTGATAAAAGAATTAAAGCACTTTCAAAACCATATTTATATGCATATTTGTATTGCGTACCACTAAACGAAACCATAATAAAAAATAATAATATCTGTTGCTTCCAGCATCGTCGCAACGGCGTAGGGCCGCATGCGCACGCGCACGGCGGAGTGGGCGTAGTAGGGGCGGGCTCTCGCGGACGTCCGTACGTTCGCACCGCGCCCAGGTGGACGCCGCACCCGCATACCGTGCACCACATACACGCACAGGTATTTATCAAATCATTTACGTTAACTATGTTTTTTTTTAGAATACCACAAATCTTTTTTGATATCGCGATTTATCTTGAAGTGTGCGTGCGGGGTAAATTTTGGATAAGTCGAAACTATTATACGCCATTATGTCTTTCATTTGTATCAAAACTTCTATTTTGTCTATGACTCCCTGTATCTGTGTGAAACGCTTAACGCTTAACGCGCTAAAACATTTGATTCCAGGTTGTTGTAAATTTTATATCAAAGTCATTTATTTCATTTTGGCAATAAAAAAAATTACTTTACTAACGGAAAATAGGCGCATGGTGTTATAAAAAACAATGTTGTAGAGAACTAAATGATTATGTAGATACATGGTGCTCACATATTTGTAAATTCACCGTAATTATCATGTATTTTAGAATAGATAGATTGTAATTGTAGAAAATATCTTTATATATATAATTCTTGTGTGCGTGTGTATGTGACTGAACTTCTCTCAAACGACTGGACCGATTTTGATGAAATTTTTTGTGTGTGTTCAAGGGGATCTGGGAATGGTTTAGATTCACAAATTAGCCCGGCAGATGGCACTGCAGTCGGTACTTTCATACTTTGCTTAATATCCTAATCGCGTTAAATATCATGCAGGACAACGTCTGTGGGGTCCACTAGTATTATATAAAATGGTGTACTTTAATAAAGAATATTAATTAATTACAGGGCGGAGGCGGTCTTGTGAACGCATTACCTCAGTTACACGTCGCATCGCCGCTGTCATTACCGCCACCACCGCCTACCTACCAGGTAAAAATTTAATATCCTTGGATATTTTATTGACTTTTCATGGAATAGGGGGATAAAGAGCGGGGTCACTCAACAGCCTCAAGAGTCTCGAAAGTGCGTTGCCGGTATTTGAAATTTGCTTTCGTGAAGCCCCTATAATGTAGTGGGTGATTGTGGATATGAAATATTTATTAAATGGCAGGTGAACTAGCCGTTTTAATTGTAAAAAAGGGGGGTAAGAATTTGAAACTCAAAACCCTTGATTGTGATTGGTCTATAGAATCTCTGGTCAAATTACACTCTGTCTTCCATTTAACCGTACCTAAAATCCTGAGATTGATAAGTACAGTGGATTTCGCAACGACGATAGTTGACCACTCTAATTTTGTCGTTATATCCGGATGTCGTTACAGGCAGTGGTTGAGATAAATACAAAATATTAAGTTTAAATTAATTTATTATTGAATATATTTGCACACATTTGTACATTTCAAAAATAACTCAGAATATCATTTTGGAACTGATCCATACATTTAACTCCGAAACGAAAACGTTTACCTACCTACTTAGCTGATATCTATGAACAAAAGATATGAAATGAAATCCACTGTAATTTGCTATTATATTAAGAATTTTGGGTCCTTCAAGAAAAGAGCGTACTAGTGCTTAAAACCCGGAGACGCACTTGCGAGCCTTCTGACAATGTGTCCATGGGCGGCGCTATCACTTAACACCAGATGAGCCTCCCGTTTTCCCCATGTAAAAAACGCGTGTTATTTATGTACACGCGTTAGAAGTTATACTTCTTTGGCGAAACAAGATAAAAATCTTTTCAAATATTTTATTCTACGTTTGTAGAAAAAACGACTATAGCTAACTTCAGGGTGTCGGTTTTTTGTGACGGTGTGCGCATCGTAAAAATTTACACTCATAATTTTTCCCTAACGCGCCAAAAGAAGTATAACATATCATTATATTAAATAAAAAAACATTAGAATTCCCTCCCCCAAGCGTCTCAAGAAGCAATCGACGTAATGATAGTTTATTCGTGTCGCACAGGTGTTCCTGAATCTCCTTGCGATGTTCCCACTCTCCCCTTACGGGGAAGCGCGGGGGGGAGGACGGCGCAGACTCTCCCGAGACCGAGAACTACGAGGCGCTGCTCTCCCTCGCCGAAAGGCTGGGCGAAGCGAAGCCGAGAGGATTGGCGAGGCACGAAATCGATCTGCTGCCCAGTTATAAGTACTGCGAGCAGACTCATCAAGGTAAGCTAAAAGGTACTGATGATTTTAATTTTCTAGTTATAATTTACACTTGTATGGTGAAGGATGGACAAGAGAAAGAAAGACAAGCTTGACAGCCAGTAGTCTGTGAAATGTGTGTTTAAATTTATATGTAATAACTGTCAGGTGTATATGTAGTGTATGTTAGCTGCACTAGATAACTAAGTAACGGGTGGCGCAAAAGTACTGGCACTAAAGAAAATTTGTTTAATTTTTTTAATATGACGATAGTTTTCATTCTGTTGTTGAAAATTGTGTAGTGAACAAATGTAAAATACACTGAAAATAAACATGGTTTTACTCCCCAAGAACGTGGGATAATCGTGTCAATGTTCTTACGGAATAATTCATCAGTGATAAAAACACAACGTGAATTTCGTCGACGATTTCCTGCAAGATCACCCGATATGACCAGTCCAGACTTCTTTCTTTGGGTTTTTTGAAATCTCGGGTGTATGTGAACAAGCCACAGACTCTCGCAGCTCTAAAAGAAAACATTCATCAAGAAATAAGGAACATATAGCTGGAAGTATTAGGGCAAGTTATGCAAAATGTCATAAATAGGGCTCAAATGTGCATCAACTCTGGAGGTCACTATTTAAAAGACATCGTCTTTAAATCCTAAGAGTACGAAATTTAAAGGCACAAATATACATTTAAAAAAACCTAAATCTAGTTTTCTAATTACTTTTGCGCCACCCAGTATATGTGGATAGGGTGATACCTTTATATACCTATTTATATAATATTTAAACGATCCTAGTGCTTGGATATGAATTGCTCCAGTATAAATAGTTAACGCGACTAAATCTCTCGGCTGCATTTCCAGACTCGACTCTTTGACGGAGAGTTTATTGCCAGTTCTTCTCTTCCGTTCTACGCCCTTGATTTGAGAACTGGCAGTAAATGTAAAATTAGAAGCATTTCATTTATATTTCTTTTTTGACGTTCATAAGTGTACCTTGGTTGCCTATATGAATAAATTATATTGACTTTTGAATTTTATATAAAATTTATGTGATTACTATATGTAAGATTTTTAATTGGCCCATAATGTTATATACATCTATTTCTATTGGGAACTTCTGAAAAATAAATAAATACTCTTATGAGCTGATGGTGTATGCGCATCTTCAGCTGTTAAATTTTGGAACAGCCCCGTGAGCCGTGTATGACTCGAAAATCTTATTTTCAGGCGAACAAACCTCGTGCGTGGTCTGCATGTGCGAGTTTGAAGCTCGACAGACGATACGTGTGTTGCCTTGTGCGCACGAGTTCCACGCGAAGTGCGTCGATAAATGGCTACGGGTGAGTATCAGAGTAGAACTGGAGTTTCAATACCTCACTGTCGTCGTCGCTTCTTGTGAAACAGCAAAGGAGTGGAACTCCTTTCCTCCTCTTCCATCTTCCCTAGACAGTCTAATAGGCATTTAAGCGGCGGAGACTGCCGCGGTAAAGCTATTGCATATGCAATTATAATTTTTTTTTCTTTGATATTAATTTAATCTACCAGACTCAGACTAACACGCCTATATAGTCTGTCTCACTCTAACGTGTACCGGCTGCGCTTACGCTACGTCACCGATCTCGTCAGAGAGATGTGAATACGCACTATGCGTTCTGTCCCACTTTAACGCACCTGCGCTACGTCACCGATGACGCCAGACCGATGTGAGACGCAGAATGCGTTGTGTCCCGCCCTAACGCGAATTGGCCGTACCTATATTACGTCATAGTGTGTTAGGTTTATTTTCGTTACGGAATTTCTTGATTCGGTCAAAGCCCGCTATAAAATCTATGCAATAGTTTAATAGTATTTTTGTGAATATTTTAATCTATTACTGTTTGTGGTTACCGCATTGGAGTTATTTGTACTGGTAGCTTATTGAGTTAATAATTTTTTTTCAGTCGAACCGCACCTGCCCCATATGCCGCGGCAACGCGTCAGAATATTTCAACAACTCCGAGTGACTCTAACGAAGTCGCCGAGCGCGACTGAACCACCAAATAACGAACGGTTATATTTTTCATATCAGTGTATTCCTATATTTAACGGATGTATTTGTTTGATAGTGCATTAAACGTACCGGGATTTTGTATACATAGATGAAACGGTATGCCGGGTGTTTTAAGACTGTTATATATCGATACCGAAAACGATATATATATGTTGATTTAATTTTCTTTTAAGTCCATCATAGGCCAGTCATAAACTCTTTGTCAAAACAGACAAAAAATAACAAAGTTTGTACAATTTTTATTTTCTAATTACTGTCAATGGTTTAAAGCAAATTATACAAATTGAAATTATTTTCATTGGAAGCAGTTTTAAGACACCTGGTATATTTCACCGGTATTCCATAGATCGGTCTTAATACCGGTTTATTGTATAAATTGTTTGAAAAACCGGATATATCAGATTCACAACGTTTCAAAATGTCTAAAACATGTGTGGGAAAGTGAAATGTCAGATTAATAACGTAATTAACAACGATTTTTAACCGTAAAACCATAACTAACTAGTATTAAAATTTTGAATAATTTAGTAATAACCCTGCTTGATGTCTATTAGTTATTTGTATTGTTTTGAAATTTAACAGAATCTGAAAAAAAATTGTGTTTCACTGGACGACTAATTACGTTAAATATAATTTCAACTGATACAGCAATATATTGAGTAAACTTAAAAAAAGTCGAAACGATTTTTTTAAATGACAACGGCTTCAAGTTGACGCTCGAATTTCAACAAATTTTATACAAAATACTCCAAAATAGTTTGTTTTATGATTAGGAAAAACCTTATGAAGACATTAACTCCATATAGCTTTAATTTCTACGTTTATTCTGGCGTAGTAGAAAGTTCGTAGCGTAACGAAGTCATTATTGGAAATAAACGTTAACAAATCGTATGTACAACACAAAACAGCCACAAGTAATATCGACGGTTAAGGGACGAGTTTAACACGGAGTTTTATCTGTAACATTGTGGTCGCTCAACCCGGCAATATATAAATACGCAACACGCAATCATTCTGGCAAATATTGTGATGAAACTTGCACGTTGGAGACACAAAAGTCTGACACACCTGCGTATAAAGACGAACGTCAGTTTGACAGTTGATCGTTGTTGTGTCAAAGTCATCTTAGTGTCAACGAATTTCATGATTACATTCTTTGACTAGTTAAGTTTTAAATTTTGTTTGACAAATGGTTTTTATATTTTTCATTTGTTTAATTTCATACCGTTGCTATGGTTACTGTTATTTTCGTTGGAGAGTTACCGTGCGGTAGGTTTTTGGTGTATCACGGCTTCTGTGTGGTTTTAGCGATAGTGTAAATAATAGTATTAGTTGCTTTTTTTGTGGGTAGAATATTTTTTTTTTAACGGGTTTGAATTCGACCAAGCTTTCGGAATTCTGATGTATTAAAGTTTTTATGGCATTGCGTTAAGGTGCATTTTACAAAGCGAAAATTAAAATCTTCAAAATTTATTAAAAGGTATTAGGTATCAGTTTTGTGTTGTTTTAAGTGAGTATTAAAAATAGAAAAAAAAATCACAACAAATAATTTTTTTGCAGCTTTTACCCAAAACACTTCAATAATCTAATAATTCGTATTCTAAATGTAATTCGCGAGCAATAACTAGTTTTAAGATTCGAACTGACAACAAATTCTTTAAATTTTTATAGTAAAGTGAAGTTAGCCGCGATAGATGCGAAAACGGCGCAATTTCGTAAAATGTGTAAATTTTCCACTTACTATTTCTAAATTAGCTAAGTCACTTGATGTGTCATTTGTCACGTTGACAATATACTATGAAATGCAATTTGGATTACGGCAAGTCAGGTTAATTGTCATCTGTCAGTTATGCGTCGATTATGTCGCACCTGAATAAACTTAGGTATGTTATCTGTCATCTGTCATTGTTATTGAATTGGCCCATCTCTACATCGCTTATTTTCGTTTTAAAGATTTGATATTCAATGATCCAGCAGACACATGCTTTGAATTCGTAGACATATGGAATGGTTTGAATGATTCAAACAAAACTATAAAAAGATCGTTCCTTTGTTCCAAACAGGTTTGGATGTACAGATCGCTCGAACCGTTCCCTTTTTCTATGCAAATCCATATAAACGGTATGTTAAAACCCAAAGTTTTTGAAATATGAAAAGACTACAACTCTTTTCATATTTTACAGGACAAGTTATTAAGACACTTCCAAACAGATTACGCTATTTAACAAATACGCTGATACGACATACCCACGAAAGAAATAACATATAGACAGATGTTTTAGTTTTATGAGGGTAGAAAACACAGGCCGACAACGCACCCACTAAAATGTGCCCCTGGGCTGCGACGATTTTTTCCAGTAAACTCGTTTTCACACTAGTACACAAAACTAGTACTAGTACAAAAATGTGTATTAGAGAGCGTTCAAGTATTACGTCACGCAATTTTTGGAGATAATTGACCCGTCCGTTAACGTTGACAGTAAAACGTTTCGTGACCATCTAGTGACGCTTTATACCCAAAAGTTACCATTATGAGGTGTAAAGTACTGGAAAGTCGAAAATAATATTAACAATAACGCGTAATTCAATCCGCGCACCGCATCGTAACATTTTACAAAAGGACCCCCCCTTATATTCGTTACGTAATACTTGAAAGCTCCCTTATTTATATTGGGTAAAAGAAAAGTTGGGTAATTAGTTTAAAATACAATAAACTTTAAACATTTCTGTGCCGGTTTTAAGCGCTTTTGACAGTCGAGTTGTTTAATTCACCGGCATGTGCAATATTAGTTTGTGCAATCGAGGTTTTAGATATCAGTTGACCAAGTGACCGCCATATTATATGATTTTAAGGAATATTTTTTGTTAAGTTTACTATACCTAGTTCGTTATTTTGATTCAGTTAAAACACCCTTGAGTCAGAGGCAATACAGGATGTCTTTATAAATCAACGTCTAACTCGAAGTAGAGCGGGTGGTTAGAAAATTAATCAATTATATTGTACTAAACACATTGTATTGCACAGTTTTTCCAACACTAATTTTAACATGTGTATAATTCATTAAATTTTTTGAATGGCACAGAATCTTCCGATTTGACGTTGATTTATGGGATACCTGTATACGATTTCATCAAAATATTCGGGTAAAATTTGACTATATATCATTGTATTACCGTTGGAAGTCAGATGTGTCCGACACCTCTGGAGTTGTTCTAATGACGGCAATTAAGGGATGGAAGGTTCTTAGGAAGATTTTTCTTGTTGGAACGTGAACTAAGTATACCTTCCATATGGGAGAGCGTTCAAGTATTACGTCACGCAATTTTTGGAGATTATTGACGTTTCGTGACCACCTAGTGACTCTTTATACCCAAAAGTTACCATTATGTGGTGTAAAGTAGGGGAGCGTGGGGCTAGTTGTAACAATTTTAACAAATAATTGAATATCATGAAGAATATTGGCTAAATTACTACTAAATAAACTTTGATCGATACTCTAACTATTTATCTATGAAGTCGAATCGAAATATTATCAAATCTACAGGTAACTATCTCACAATTATTTTTTTTCTAAAAAGAGAAGTGTTACAACTTACCCCGTGGTTGGGGCTAGTTGTAACAACAAAAATGACACCTTCAATCGTTTAATTTTTTTCACATCTTGGATCATTTTATCTCTTAGTTCTACCTTACATCTTACCATCGCAGATTTGTTAACTTTTCCTTCCCCTTTCACTTTTCTTTATCATCTTCTTTTGCATTTTCTTCATCTTTTCTTCATATTCTACTCTCAAAGCTTCATTTTCAGGCGTATCAGTCAGAACAGCAGACTTCCTTTTGCGTCTGCAATTTATATGTTTTTCGTGGTGGCGCCTTTGGTAATGGTCTAACTTTTGATGGGAAAAATTGATTTTGACCAGAGAACTTGGAGTTAGTTTGTTCGCAGTTTCAATGTGGGTATAATTTCTGTTGTGCTGATATCCACTTCAGGAGCAGAATCTAATAGTTCTGGATGTTTAAGACTCAACGATAAAGAAATTCTCACTTTCATTTAGAACATTTTCTGATTGTTATGTAGGCTCTGGATGATCACTAACATAAGAGAGCGCAAAGTCACTATCTTGGAAAATATCAACATTCAAAGGCCAAATACCAGAAGCTTTAAGTCCACTGATAATGACTCCTTCACTACACTTGGGATGTCATAAATTGTCATCGTTTTTCCTGGATTATTATACATCCATGCAGTCTGTGCTCTGTTCACGTAGTTTTTAAAAGGCCCGTAGACTCCTACATACATAGGTTGAAAATTGTGGGAGCAATGGGAGGAAAACTATAACATGATAACATTGTTTTCTTTGGCTTTTTCGAAACTGAGCTGACACTACTCACAACTGAGAGACAACATTCAATGTGAGCCATGATTATCGAGCAGTAACAGAACTGGCTCTTTCTTGGTAGGTTTCGGTGTTTGATAAAGTGATCTACAAAAATCAAAAATTCTTTATCAGTCATCCTCCACCCTGAAGAATTGCCAGCTCCAATGCAATCTTCAGGTCCACCGCGAATGAACATTTGTGAGTATTTAAGCCGGGGAAAACTGAACATCGGCCGTCAGTAACTTACAGCAATCTGGGGGCAATTGTAACATGTTACAACAAACCCCGAGGTTTTGTTAAACTAGCCCCTTGATAGAGTTCTTAATATTTATCACGATAACTATTAAATTAACTTAGTAATCTTGAAAACTGTTATACAACATCATAAATAGTTATATTTTAGCATAAAATAAAATACATAAAACTTCAAAGTTACGAAAATAGTGAAACTAACCAAAAATTTACGTTAGTAAAATTATAGGTTTCCTGTCAACAATTAAGCGTTTGACACACCCACTCACTGAGCCGCCTGGTAGGACCCTGGCTGTGGTAAAGTGGCGTGGCACGTTATAA